TATAAATTGAAAGGAGACTGCGACCATAACAGAGACCACAACATCTTGGTCTTCATATATTCAATCAAAATAAGATATAATTCAAGCACTACTGAAAGTTATCAGTACTATCCCATTTAGCATATAATATTGTCGCTTGCTAATTTATAACCTGATTATAAAAGAGTTTTTGGAAGGGTCTAGACCGCTCATTTTACTCTGGCAATTTCAATTATCAGTCATAGCTCTCGCCAAGCAACAGTTTGACCGTTTCAGCAATGATGTAAAAGGGTACTGGCTCCTGCTTAAACTTAAATTCTTGCGTTTTTGCTTTCAGCAACATGAAAACTATATGGCTTTGGGTAATTTAAGACTTGCTAGTTGAGTTTTTCCGCATTCAGATGTGTAAGCTCTATCAGTCGTGAAAACTACCAACGTGGAAAATAACTGACGTCATCGATTACAATGGACTGCCGACACATGAGGTAAGAACTTTTGAACGGGAAAGTACGTATCAGTTGTCAACTCACACCGAGCATGAAGCCAGGTCGCAGGGTGGTGCGCCGAAGACCTATTCGTACAACTCGACAATCACAGCTCCAATACAATCCTCATACAGCTTCCTGTGGAAGCAACTTATGTATCTCCTCCACTCGCCTCCTTAAACCAACTGAAAGTTACTCCAGCATCAGTTTATTAAGGGATTCTTCGAAACCCAGTTTTTCTATGTTCCCACCATATTGTTCGGATGCAGCTATTTCATGGCCTGAAAGCAATTCCGAGAGAATAAAATATAGTTTTTTATGTTATTCTTAAGCAAAGCCCTTATTTCGTTGTGGTAAAGGCAAAACATTGAGTAGAATGTGATATCTTTACGCCTGAATCGACGCGCCACATTTCAGGGTCTTTCGCGCCTCCATGGTTTCCAGCAATATCCTGTTTTTGATGATCAGCTAATCCAGAATCGTGCCAGCCTCAATCAGATGCACATATCGCCCGTGGATATAACTCGTCTTTGAAAAATTGCACCTTCACACGGTACCACATGGCACTCTCCGATGACAATTATTCCACCGTAACCAAGCCGTCTGTACAATGTTATTTGGTCCCAGCCGAAGCAGGTTGATCTGATGGCAGCGTTGAAAGAGTTGTTTCATGAACAATTACGCTCAAATAATTGAAAGAAAAAGGAGCCCAATCAAGTTTGTAAAGATTTTGGTGAGTTGTTTGCTTGTCGGCTGTTAGTTAGCCGAAAGTTCCCTAGTATGGTCTATCTGAAAGCCTTCAAAAGTAGATCTGTGCATTTACACAGCAACAGCGCAACTTATTTATCGAAAGAAGACGAAATAGAAAATGGGACGTCCGATATGCTTAGAGTTTGTTGAGTGAACCCTGTTGAGGTAATGTTAAAATGACAAAGGTCATAATCTTCGAAGGTCTTCCTGTCGATCACTTTCAGACTCAATGAGAAACGGCATCTGAGATCGGATGGTTCCGGCAAATTGAATGAAGACGAAAGAGTGAAACAGAAACTGAATTGTTAATATGTAAATAAAATTATGATAATATCTACTTATACATGAGTCAATTGTATAGTTATAGTGTTATATTTTATATACATATATCTATAAAAATAATAAATAAATTTACTGCAAATACTGTAATATTAGTATTTAAAAGTATTAAAAGTCTCCGTATGAGGTACAGAAACATAAATATGCTTGCTAACAATAATAATAATGGTACAAAACAAGCTTACCCCAAAGAAAGATGAAGGACATTTGCGATGAGAAGCAGCGGTCTGATCGAGGTCAGAGTGCCTGCAACTATCCAGGCGGAGAAAGAGTGGCAGTAAACATAAATGGCTCAGCAAAGTGGGACAAATCGTAAAACAGAGCTACCAAGCTTAGCATGGATTGCTTAGTCCTTGATGACAAAATAGCTCAGACTCCACCACTCGAATGTTTACTTTATGCTATGCTACATCCTGTGCTAAATATTCTGGTCAATATTTTAGTTACGGGGACTCAATTGTGATCATGCTATTCACACTAGTCGTCACTTAAGCTCAATGGAAACTATAGTACTGACACAATAGTTAGTAGTATCTGCATTGGAGATTAAAAGAATATGCATATATCTTGTCAAGAGGTGAGCTATGAGAATGGAGCCGTGGCAAGCTACCAGTTTGTCCATGTACATTTGGCTGATCTGGCTGTTTTCCTCTGGTCCACTTGCAGCCCCACCGCAGATCGACATTTGGGGTCCCAAGGGCACTTCGGAGGTGCCACTCGGCTCCCGGTTCACGCCGTACTGCCTGGCCAAGGGGAATCCGGCTCCGCGGCTCGAGTGGCTGCGTCATGGGCAGCTGGTGGATCTGTCTCGATTCACAATCGAGGACAGCGGAGTGCGCTTGGAGCTGGCGACTGTGCAACAGGAGGACGCCGGAATGTACGAGTGCCGAGCGATCAGCGAGTACGGCGAAGTGGTGCGCAAGTTCGAGCTGAAGGTGAACTGTGAGTGTATATCCGCCGCGTAGCAGAGTTGGCTGAGCAGAAGCAGCGGTATCTTGGGCTTTCAGAACATTTTTTCGCGCCCCCTACCCGGGTTCGCCTGGGTTCGGTACCTCAGGCCGTCCAGGCCTGGGGTGGGGCAGATGGGTCCCTGTTGCCACCGCCACTCCTGCTCAGCTGGCCCTCGTTGTCGCTACGCCAGACGTTGTAACCTCGTATTTTCCCTTGCTTAGTTCCGCCGCGACTCAACAGCGACGCCCAACGCCACTACACATTGGAGCGAATGATCGACAGTAGCGTGCTCCTCGAGTGCGACGTGACGGGAAGTCCAGAGCCGGAGATCGAGTGGTTCAAGGATGGCGCGCTGTTGGACCTGCCGAAGAGGATGAGGCAAGTCAGCAAGGACGCGTCTCTTCCATCGGCAATTGGGTCCATCAAAGATGACCCGATTGCCAGCTCTCGCATTGAAGTAATGGAGACTTGTTGGGCTGACTTGCATCTCGAGATCGCTCACATGCTTCCAAATTGACATTTGACTCGAGTAGACAAAATACATTTTGGAGGTTGTCTGACCTTGTTTTCGCAACTTGGTCATATGGGCAGGAGGACCAAGAGGAACACACCTTGTCCGGAGTCCGTTGTATGAATGCTCATTTACAGAGTCGGACCGTGGACTTGGTACATTCCCGACTCTGTAAATGACCATGCATACAATGGACTCCGGACAAGGTGCGTTCTTCTAGGTTCTCCTGCCAATATGACCAAGTTGCGAAAACAAGGTCAAACAACTTCTACACAACGAAGGGAGACGGAGACCATACAAAAGGTCACTCAATCCCGGTCTTCATATCTTCTCTTCATAGAGTTAGACAAAAACTTGTGTAAGAATGAGTTCTAGCTCTGATTATGTCCGTCGTATGACAGACGAAAACTTAGTCCATTTAGGCCCGAAACGGGGAATGATGTATTGTGGATGTCAACCTGGTCGTCGTATATAGGATATCCAGGTTGACGACCGCATAGCAACGGGAATTAGCTGTTGCCTTCGGGTGATATCCACCAGCACTTTCATCTAATCCCGTTATTTCCTGTCTAAATATATTTTTGAGTACATTGGAACTGCTTACCTGGCATCTGAAAGGTACCTTTGTCCCGAGAGGTTTTATTATGCTAGCCCATTTATTTGCAGCTTTAGATCTTCTCCATCACAATGACCAGTTGTCTTGGGGTGGGGGGGGGCTAGGTGGAGAGAATTAGCCTCGGGATGGTATCTCGCCTGGACGGTAGCTTTGTCGTTATATGATATTCATTCTTGGAATGCATAGTTAAGCTGGTTAGAACTCGATCCAACCGAATCCGCAGCATTGAGTATCTCGAGTATGTGGCTCAGTGGATAAAAATTGCATTGTATAGCAAAAAATAATAACATCAATAAATAAACTTAAGAAAGATATATGCTAGTATGAAAAAAACGTATGTATTACAAGCGATACTTCATTATTAGACGAACAAGCCATCCAATACACATTCCACTTGTCATTCATCACATTTCAGAAACCCCGCTGTTGCAACCCCAAACTTTTGGGGTTTATATTCACTCTTTCAGAAGTCCAGATTCCTTTTCAGCATAGTTCTAATCCCTCTAGGTACCTG